AAGGAGTGCTTAAAGATTATGGATCTTTTGAAGCTCCTCCGCTTCAGGACGGGAGCCGAGGATGCAGCAGGCGTTTCCCCTCTGGATCGCCACATTGAGGCGCTGAAACAAAAAACTAACAGCTTTTAGGATATATGTATATATATATATATATATATATATATATATATATATATATATATATATATATATATATATATATATATATATATATATGCCTTGGTCGACGTCATACCTATGCACTTTGATTGAAGGCTACATCCTTCGAGCAGGGGCAGGTGTACATGTATACCACGCTTCACTGCTGTAAAGGGGTCTTCGTCGGTTTCGGGCTGTTTTTAATAAGGAGGTCGGTAGTCTTCTTTGTTTATAGAATATGATCAGGTCTATGTTTTGGTTAGGAGTAATGAATTTTACTCCTTTACGGATTATTTCTTTTATTATTCATTCTTTTTAAAGTTCACAGTGAATAGCGGATTTGTAATATAATTTTATTGGAGATGTTGTGGTTTCTGTTCTTGGTTCAGGGTTGTACCATCGGTCCAGGTGTAGTCTTATAGCAGGGTTTATTTATGTGTAGCTATATCCATTGTTCACCAACACCTGAGTTATTTGTTGACCAAACCACACACTAGAAAGTGAAGGGACGACGATGTTTCGTAGAGAATGGTCCAGGACGAACCGAAACGTCGTCGTCCCTTCACTTTCTAGTGTGTGGTTGTGGTCAACATATTTCAGCCACGTTATTGTGACTCCTCGTCTGCACCTGAGTTATTCTTTCAAACTCTTTATTCACGTTGCTCCATTCAGAGCAGTGGGTAAGCGCTCGACGAATATAAGCGTTGAGAACACTGGCTTTGTATCTTTGGGGGCACTCACGCCTACCGTTTAGGCATAAGCCTATGTTGATAGGCTTAGTATATACGCTGGTGCTTAAAGAGGTTCCTGTTTTTGTTACTAGTACATCCATGAATGGCCGACTGTTATTTTCACTAATTTAATTTTCCGTATTAAAAACAGCCCGAAGGCGACGGAGAACCCTCTACAGCAGTCAAACGTTGTATACATGTGAACCTGCCCCCATGAAGGATGTAACCTTCATCTAAGTACATAGGTGTGACGTCGACCAAGTTGACGAGGCGTTTGACCTGTCATCTTCAATCCGGTGCCCCCAGGAATGACATGACACAAGCCCATAACATCACCCTAACAGGAGAAAGGCTGAATAAAAACACTTGTGTAATAGACAAAACCCAAGATGTAAGAAGATTACAAATTCTTGAAGCAATCCACAAAAAAAAGAACCTACTATAAACCCCAAATTACGGAACTATTCACTCTACTCACCATGAGAGTAAGAACAAGAGCAGAACGTGAAGATGCCGACATAGAAGACACTGCTCAACATGCCACGTCCACTACACCTGATTAATCTTTGGATGTGTTTCCTACCCTATTTAGCCTTAGTCTACTCTTTTTCTCCTTCATGCCTTTTCTATATCCATATGTATACTCATAGTTCGATCCATTTGTCTACACCTGACCCCATTGTTCGATCCACCTGAGTCCACCTGACCCGCTAACATATATAAATATATACACTAGAGGAGTACTTTGACCCCATTATTACCTTACCTTACCTCGTATCCTCACAGATATTGTTCCCCTACTGGCTTTCTCTCATCATGTCTCATATGTCACTTGATAATGTATGATGAAGTGGATGAATGTATGAGTGATGAGTTCTTCATTAAGCAGGAAGAGTGGTGGTCAGACAGGGAGGTCGGACCCGGTGTTCACGCGGTCACCAGTTCGAACTCTTTAGTGCCTGGTCTTCCTTTTTTCCATATATTGACTACAAAATACTTTAGGTTTAAATCAATAATATTTTTCAACTATTTATTCATATTTTAAATATTCAATCACCTTTTATATATCGAATTTAGTAACTTGTATATTTTATAGTATTTATTATTATTATCCCAGCTGTACCTGACAACGCGTTGCTGTGGCTCAGAAACGGATATGTGCTACTGAGCCACAACCACCTTCCCCTGTCCCCCAGTCCTCCCCACCATTCCCCCCTCCCCCATCCCCTCGTCCTCCCAACTCTCCCGTCCCCTCTTCCTCCCCACCATCCCCCACTCCACCGTCCCCTCATCCTCCCCACCATCCCCCACTCCACCCTCCCCTCGTCCTTCCCACCATCTCCCACTCCCCTGTCCCCTCGTCCTCCCTATAATTCCCCCCTCCCCTGTCCCCTCGTCCTCCCTATAATTCCCCCCTCCCCTGTCCCCTCTTTCTCCCCACTCCCCTGTTCCCTTGTCCTCCCCACCATTCCCTACTCCCCCCCCCCCTCGTCCCCACCATCTCCAACTCCTCCGTCTACTCGTCCTCCCAACCTTCAGAAAATTGAGAACATCAAATGATCTGATGTTCCCATCACTGAAAAATAAAAACAGTTAAAATCCAAATAAAAAATTTAAAGAATAAACTATACTCATGAAATGACCGGAATGGTAAACAACACAGCTCAATTCCAATGCAGCGTCACACAAAATAATTAAATCAAAATGAAAATAAATCGAAATCGATGAAAATTCAATTTATCAATGTAATCGGAAACACTGAAATGGAATCGTAACATACATAGTATAGCGTGTGTTGCTCTTACATGCACCAGATGGCGCCATTTTTTTTTAAATGTTTTCACCTGTCACAGGAGTTGCATCTATATAGTAGGCATATAAAAACACGCGCGTATTCGAATGGAATGTTGTGTGAAAATTTCAAAACAATTGGTGAAGAACTTTCGTCGATTACAGCATGTGTTGCTCTTACGTCTAACAGATTGCGTTTTTTTTTTTTTTAATCACGTTTTTCCTGTCACAGGTGAGGCATGCATATAGTAGGTATATTAAAACACTCGCCTATTCGAATGCAACCTTGTGTCAAAATTTCAAAGCAATTGGTAAAAAGGTTTCGAAGATTTCACTCACATGAAAAACACAGTTTTTCAAAAAAGCATGTTTTTTCCTGTTACAGACGTGACATCTATATAATATGTATATAAAAACCTGCTCGAACGCGAATGGAACGTTGTGTGAAAATTTCAAAGCAATCGGTGAAGAACTTTCGGAGATTAGCGATTTTGAACAAACGAACATTTACATTTATATTTATATAGATATATAATATTAGTATATTAAGCTTTATCATACTTACATTTGAAGCTGTGTAGGACGCCTGTGTTAACCTTCTAAATGCGTTGATTGTGGCTAACACAGTCAACTCTCACACGATTGAACCCTAGTTCGATCCTGAGGCATGATGAGACTCACACACGTGCGCGTATATCTGATGTCCCTGTTCACCCAGTAGTGAACAGTTACCCGTGAGTAAGGTGACTGTTGTGGGCAGTATCCTGGGAAAGGTCTATCGTAGCGTAGAGATATCCTAGATAAGCTTATCTTGCCACCTGTCAACCCCGATAATTTGAAACACTTGTTTTGTCGTTAAGACCCATTGGCGAGAGAGAGAGAGAATTATCAGGGGAAAGCGCCAAGCCATTACGACTATAAAGGACTGGGAAGGGGTCAGGATAAGGATTTGGGACGGGACGGGGGAAAGGAATGGTGCCCAACCACTTGGACGGTCGGGGATTGAACGCCGACCCATTGACGAAGCTTCACGAGTTCAATCAGGTTGTTCATGTCCACCGTATTGAGCGCTTCTCACTCCTCTGTTTTTGTCGTCCAAAATAAACTGCCGGACAATTGTAAATAGATTGTTAAGAGAATATTTGCACGACATCGTAGAGGACATAAACAAGTCTTGTTTATGAGCAGCCTGGTTGGCACTGTGCAATATTATGAGTTGATGTGGCGCCTTCACGCTGACCACAAGGTGCTCTGTGAGCCCTGGTGTGTCTGTGAGCCCTGGTGTGTCTGTGAGCTCTGGTGAGTCTGTGAGCTCTGGTGTGTCTGTGAGCCCTGGTGTGTCTGTGAGCTCTGGTGTGTCTGTGAGCTCTGGTGTGTCTGTGAGCTCTGGTGTGTCCGTGAGCTCTGGTGTGTCCGTGAGCTCTGGTGTGTCCGTGAGCTCTAATGTGTCTGTGAGCCCTGGTGTGTCAGTGAGCTCTGGTGAGTCTGTGAGCTCTGATGTGTCTGTGAGCCCTGGTGTGTCTGTGAGCCCTGGTGTGTCTGAGCTCTGGTGTGTCTGTGAGACCTGCTGGGTCTGTGAGACCTGCTGGGTCTGTTAGCTCTTGTTAGTATGTGAGCTCCAGTATGTCTCAGGTTGGTCTGTGAGCTCCAGTATGTCTCAGGTTGGTCTGTGAGCTCCGGTATGTCTCAGGTTGGTCTGTGAGCTCCAGTATGTCTCAGGTTGGTCTGGGAGCTCCAGTATGTCTCAGGTTGGTCTGGGAGCTCTAGCGTGTTTGTGTGAAACTAGCGTGTCTATAAGATCTGTTGCGTCTGTGAGCTGTGGTATGTGTGGAATATCTGGTAGGATCTGCTGTGGTGTGTCTGGGAGCTCTGTTGGGTCTTTAATAAAACATAAAATTTAATAATTTAGAAATCAAGAATCAAGATCAGTAATGCACTTCCACCTGTCTACTGACTCGAGCTTACCTTCGTATATGGCCAAATTTTTTATCTAAATGCTTCTCCTGTCTCATCATTAGTCTGTACTTCTTGGGCACTTGAAATATTTTATTTAGATCCTTATTTTCGCGTCAAGTCATTAATTCAGCGTTTTTTTGGTATCCGTTTTTTGTTACAATTTTATCAATCTGTATTAAATGTTCTGCCTGTATTCAGAACGCCATGGGGAGGGGGAGTGGGGTGGTGGGGGGAAAGGAAGAGTCTCATGTTCCAGAGCTGCAGAGAGCACATCATACGACGGACTTCAGATTTTCTGGAGTGCGTCGGATCTCAGCGAGGCTGTGTTTCACAGGAATCCCAGACGAGGTGCTGAGCTTGACATGCTCTGACGGTAATGTCTTGTTAGTTATTCAAACGGTAACACGTACTCTGTCTGGAGAAAAAACACACACACTCAAACACTGTGAGCTCTGAAGGGTGTGTAAGCCCTTGTGCATGTGTGAGCTCTGTTGTTTCTGTGAGCACTGGTTGGTTGGTGAGCTCTGGTGTTTCTGTGAGCACTGGTTGGTTGGTGAGCTCTGGTGTTTCTGTGAGCACTGGTTGGTTGGTGAGCTCTGGTGTTTCTGTGAGCACTGGTTGGTTGGTGAGCTCTGGTGTTTCTGTGAGCACTGGTTGGTTGGTGAGCTCTGGTGTTTCTGTGAGCACTGGTTGGTTGGTGAGCTCTGGTGTTTCTGTGAGCACTGGTTGGTTGGTGAGCTCTGGTGTTTCTGTGAGCACTGGTTGGTTGGTGAGCTCTGGTGTTTCTGTGAGCACTGGTTGGTTGGTGAGCTCTGGTGTTTCTGTGAGCACTGGTTGGTTGGTGAGCTCTGGTGTTTCTGTGAGCACTGGTTGGTTGGTGAGCTCTGGTGTTTCTGTGAGCACTGGTTGGTTGGTGAGCTCTGGTGTTTCTGTGAGCACTGGTTGGTTGGTGAGCTCTGGTGTTTCTGTGAGCACTGGTTGGTTGGTGAGCTCTGGTGTTTCTGTGAGCACTGGTTGGTTGGTGAGCTCTGGTGTTTCTGTGAGCACTGGTTGGTTGGTGAGCTCTGGTGTTTCTGTGAGCACTGGTTGGTTGGTGAGCTCTGGTGTTTCTGTGAGCACTGGTTGGTTGGTGAGCTCTGGTGTTTCTGTGAGCACTGGTTGGTTGGTGAGCTCTGGTGTTTCTGTGAGCACTGGTTGGTTGGTGAGCTCTGGTGTTTCTGTGAGCACTGGATGGTTGGTGAGCTCTGGTGTTTCTGTGAGCACTGGTTGGTTGGTGAGCTCTGGTGTTTCTGTGAGCACTGGTTGGTTGGTGAGCTCTGGTGTTTCTTTGAGCACTGGTTGGTTGGTGAGCTCTGGTGTTTCTGTGAGCACTGGTTGGTTGGTGAGCTCTGATGTTTCTGTGAGCACTGGTTGGTTGGCGAGCTCTGGTGTTTCTGTGAGCACTGGTTGGTTGGTGAGCTCTGGTGTTTCTGTGAGCACTGGTTGGTTGGTGAGCTCTGGTGTTTCTGTGAGCACTGGTTGGTTGGTGAGCTCTGGTGTTTCCGTGAGCACTGGTTGGTTGGTGAGCTCTGGTGTTTCTGTGAGCACTGGTTGGTTGGTGAGCTCTGGTGTTTCTGTGAGCACTGGTTGGTTGGTGAGCTCTGGTGTTTCTGTGAGCACTGGTTGGTTGGTGGGCTCTGGTGTTTCTGTGAGCACTGGTTGGTTGGTGAGCTCTGGTGTTTCTGTGAGCACTGGTTGGTTGGTGGGCTCTGGTGTTTCTGTGAGCACTGGTTGGTTGGTGAGCTCTGGTGTTTCTGTGAGCACTGGTTGGTTGGTGAGCTCTGGTGTTTGAGGCTTCGTGTGTCGATGAGCATCTGGTATATCTAAGCTCTGGTGTGTCTTTGAGCTCTGGTAGCTGGGAGCTCTGGTAGCTGGGAGCTCTGGTGGCTGTGAGCTCTGGTGGCTGGGAGCTCTGGTGGGTGTGAGCTCTGGTAGCTGGGAGCTCTGGTAGCTGTGAGCTCTGGTGGCTGAGAGCTCTGGTGGCTGGGAGCTCTGGTGGGTGTGAGCTCTGGTAGCTGGGAGCTCTGGTAGCTGGGAGCTCTGGTGGCTGGGAGCTCTGGTAGCTGGGAGCTCTGGTGGCTGGGAGCTCTGGTAGCTGGGAGCTCTGGTGGCTGGGAGCTCTGGTAGCTGGGAGCTCTGGTAGCTGGGAGCTCTGGTAGCTGTGAGCTCTGGTAGCTGTGAGCTCTGGTGGCTGGGAGCTCTGGTGGCTGTGAGCTCTGGTAGCTGAGAGCTCTGGTAGCTGTGAGCTCTGGTAACTGAGAGCTCTGGTAGCTGAGAGCTCTGGTGAGTCTCAAATAATCAATATACAATTTGGGGTAAAATCAGAAATAAAATAATGATTGATCCTCCCCTTCGTTAAGGGTCAAAAGATGATAAGTAAATGCATCTCCATTTCACCCACAGTCTTCCCTGTGGACCTAATTATGGTATTTAGAACCCAATTATTGTGTTAACGTATATATTCATAATTATTTTGCCACAACTCTCCTCTTAGTTGCAGTTCCGAAAATTTGTGTTAAAATGTTCTGTTTTATATTCAGAGCGTCGAGTTTTCAGAGGCTGCAGAGAGCACAATATTATATGACCGAGAATTGAATTTGATGGGTGCTTCAGAGCTCAGTGTGTGTGTGTGTGTGTGTGTGTTTCACAGGGAACCCCAGACGAGGCGCCAGCCTCTTCATTCTCTTACAGTAAATGTTTAGTTAGCTATTCCAAAGGTAACACATTCTCTCTCTCTCTCTCTCTCTCTTCCCGACAATTTTTAAACTAAGACTTGGGTTCATAAGGGCTTTCATATGACGTACCAAGTGAAACTGCAAGCAAAAGCTGTTATCCTTAGCTCATCTGAAGCCTGCTCCTAGAAACTCATTTATTTCATGAGAAAGTACTTCTCATGAAATAAATGTGAAACTATCACATAGTTTCTTTATGATACTTACTTATCATATAAGGAATTTGGTGAAATTGCAAGCAAGAGCTGTAATCCTACCTCAACTCAGTTGAAACCTACTCCTAGAGTCCCATTTATTTCATGAACCTGCTATATACATCAGTAGGAATAGCCTTTATTCATTAACAACATTAGGTAACATTCATATAAGGAACAGACTGTCTGTCTGTCTGTCTTTCTGGTTGTCTCTGTCTCTACCTGTCTCTCTCTCTCTCTCTCTCTCTCTCTCTCTCTCTCTCTCTCTCTCTCTCTTTTGTGGTATGATAATGGTCTTTTCTGTCGACAGAAAACGACACTATCATACCACTAGCAGTTGAAACCAGATCAGACATTAACTGTTGGTGAATCTGAGGTCTACAAACAGCTTTTTCTTTCCCATGTTGGTCAGCAGGCGATTTTATAGGATTGAAATCTCAACACATCAAGTAAATGCTAAACCCGCACTTAGTGATGTTGCACAAGATCTTCTTACAGAACTCGCAAGGTTCGTCAATACGGGCCTGGCTGGTGGTGTACCTGAGGGCATCAGGACCCTCTTTTATTGTGCTTCCCGCCATGCTCTTGTTAAGGTCGGGGAAATCAGGCCAATCGTTGTTTGCAACATTCTCCGACGCCTCTTTGACAAGGCTGTTGACGACTCTTAGCCAGCGAGCGGCTGAATTACTGAAATCAATTCAGCTTGGATTTGAAATCCCCCCCAAGGTTGTGAAGCGACCGCCCATGTAACCCGAGCGTTCATCGCCAACATCTCAGACCAAGAGGCTCGGATCAAACTGGATTTAAAAAATTCACTTAACATGGTCAGTAGAGATGTGGTGCTCTGTGCTGTACATTGCCGTTACCGGCCTGTTCACCCGTTCATTCTATCATGCTACAGTGGTGACGATTAATTAACTGCTCTTTGGCGAACACGAAATTAAATAAAGTATCTAACAAGGTGATCCTTTAGCTCAACATCATGTTAAGTTCAACATCCTCGCGCACCACTGCACACACTGGCGAAGATTTATGGAAGGTGATTTTTAACTCTGTGTTTTGGGTTTTGTTTAGTTATGAAATTGTCGCCCTGTAGCTTGGTAGAGAATTCCACCTCTGGGACCAACTTTCTCAAGTGGCGGAGGCCTGGGTATACTTGGAAGGATCTGGGGAACGTCTCTCTGTGTTGAGGTCCAGTGATACATCAGTAGGAGGATACACACTATCCGATCCTCACAGTGGTGACTACGACGATCGAACTCTCCCTGTCCTTATCCTCGTCTGGTATCCGGACTCTAGCAGACGATTCTCTGATTACTGTTAGTGGCGACGCTCCTAATGTAACAGTTATGGACATACACAGAACAGGTTGCATATACACACAGTAGGTGCATGTTTATCACAGTTGTGGACTTACACAGAACAGGTTGCATATACACACAGTAGGTGCATGTTTATCACAGTTGTGGACTTACACAGAACAGGTTGCATATACACACAGTAGGTGCATGTTTATCACCGCCAAACACACACCGAAACTACGACGTTGGTATACACGTTCGAATATGATTTAACCCCTCCTAACCAGTTATAACAACCAATATAGCAAGTTGTAACAACGTTCAAATACGTCATAAACAGGTTGCATATACACACAGTAGGTGCATGTTTATCACAGTTGTGGACTTACACAGAGAAGGGCGCTTATACACGTGTTGGGTATTTGTCGCTTTATGGAGCGGTCTTTTGTAGGCCACACCAGCAAAATCAAAAGTAGCAACAGTGGATATTACGTCCCGTGGGGATTACCATTTAGTGCAACGATACTCAGGGCTGATGGAATGTGTTCTGGTAACTGAGGGATTTTATTGTCGACTAGCTGTCCCCGGTCACGCATTGCTGTGGCTCAGCAACGCATGTGCATTGCTGAGCCACAGCAACTTTCCTTTGTCCCTCAGTCCTTCCCACCATTCCCCTCTCCCCCATCCCCTCTTCCTCCCCACAATTCCCTACTTCCAATTCCCCTTGTCCTCTCAACCATTCTCCATTCCCCCATCCCCTCGTCCCCACCATCCCCAACTCCAACGTCCCCTCGTCCTCCCAACCATTACCCGCCTCCCCTGTCCCTTCGTCCTCCCCTCCATCTCCCACTCCCATACCCCGCGTCCTCCTCATCATCCCCCACTTCCTCGTCAGTTGCTTTCCCAAATGATCTGAGGTTTCAATAAAAAAAATTGGGAACATCAAATGATCTGATGTTCCTATCATAAATGATAGGGGCCTCGTAGCCTGGTGGATAGCGCGCAGGACTCGTAATTCTGTGGCGCGGGTTCGATTCCCACATGAGGCAGAAACAAATGGGCAAAGTTTCTTTCACCCTGAATGCCCCTGTTACCTAGCAGTAAATAGGTACCTGGGAGTTAGTCAGCTGTCACGGGCTGCTTCCTGGGGGTGGAGGCCTGGTCGAGGACTGGGCCGCGGGGACACTAAAAAGCCCCGAAATCATCTCAAGATAACCTCAAGATAGATCACTGAAAAATAAGAAAAAGTTAAAAAAAAAACTGAAAAAACTATACTCACGAAATAAACGGTATGGTAAAACACACAGCTCAATTCTAACGCAATGTCACACAAAATAATTAAATCAAAATGAAAATAAATTTAAATCTATGAAAATTCAATGTATCAATGCAATCGGAAACATTGAAATGGAATCGTAACATATTTAGTATAGTGTGTGTTGTTATTACGTGCAACAGATGGCGGTATTAAAAAAAAAAATATTTTTTCATGTCACAGGTGAGCATGTATATAGTAGGCATATAAAAACATGTGCCTATTCAAATGGAACGTTGTATCAAAATTTCGAAGCAATCCGTGAAGAACTTTCGGAGATTACAGCGTGTGTTGCTTTTACGTCTAACAGAGTGCTTTGTTAAAAAAAAAAAAAAAAAAAAAAAAAAAAAAAATAACAGGTGAGGCATGTATATAGAGGTATATAAAAACACGCGCCTATTTGAATGCAACGTTGTGTCAAAATTTCAAAGCAATCGGTAAAAGAGGTTTCAAAGATTTTCCTCACATGAAAAACACTTGAAAAACAGAGTTTTTTTTTTATAAAAAGCATGTTTTTTTCCCGTCACAGACGTGGCATCTATATAGTATGTATATATAAACCTTGGATGCGAATGGAACGTTGTGTGAAAATTTCAAAGCAATCGACGAAGAATTTTCGGAGATAACGATTTTGAACAAGCGAATATTTACATTTATATATATATATAGATGGAAGGGTGTTTAAGACTTTGTAGGAGTATTTATGCCTGTGGAAAGGAGTCAGTCCTGTAGAAACATGTTCAGGCTTGTGGAGGCTTGTACAGGACTGTGAAGGTGTGTAACAACCTGTGGATTTCTTCTGACGTGTCAAGGGGTGATTTAGTTAATACATTCCGGGAGGCATGACAGCTGGGGCCTGACAACTGATTGGTCATACATAAAATAAGATTAATATATGGTAACATGAGATTACATCATATACACAATATTCGTGTTACGTGGCTATCAACCAAGATATCACTGTATAGTTTGAGCACACTCATACACCAATCTCAGTAGAATCATACTGATGTATGCGTGGTCATAACATCGTACTAGTCTGGTTCACACTTCTAATGCTGCTGGTGTCTACTCTATTTCCTGTTCGTCTTGTCCTCTCCAATACTTTGAGGAAACTGGCCGTACACTAAATGATAGACTTAAGGAACACAAAAAAAAAGTGTTACGTCTGCAGACACAAACAATTCTCTCTTCTGTCATGTTAAGGACTCCCATCATCTTATTGATTGGTCTTCTAAAATAATCTTTCCTGCCTCTAATCTTCACAGACGCCGTCATGTCGAATCGGCTCTGATACACAATCTATCCAACATGAATTTTAGTCCTGGCTTTGTAGATGACTACTCTTTCACAGTACATACTCAAATGTTCTAACCTTTCCAACAAACGTGACCTAACATCCTAGCCTACCCATCCATTTTTCGCTTTCTCTTTGTTTTTCTTTAACTTACTCTTTCGTTCCCATTTACTACTTTTATTAACCTTTATATATCCTTTATTACACCTATTATTACACTTGCTTTTACCTTCCTCTAAGATTTCCTCCTCCTCACCTCTTGCCTTACTTATGCCCGTGCCTTTCTCGTGTCTTCAGTTACAGCCCCGCTCCTGTGCCAGGTAAGTTCACTACGGGCTCATCATAGTCTGTGCTACTTGGAACGTTTTGTTCCGAGTAGCTGAATCTAAAATAACAACACAAACTTTTAACAATCGACCTGATAATCGACGGACCTAAACG